TTTTAGTAGTGATGGACGTTCAGACATTCGCCCAATATGGTAACCATCGAGTTGAAAAAATTGGAATCTACTGAGAAGGAAGTGAAATATTTTGGCGTTTTAATATTTAATCAAATTTTAGGAAGTGATTGGAGCCGAGAACATTTTCAGTAAACCTTCCTACTATTGTCATAAATGGCTGGAACAATTTATGACTTCAATATGAAACAAAAACTGATCATCAGTTTAAAAGCCACTTTTGTTAACGAGTTACTGAATGTCTACACGAATGGATGATAAAATAACGAACGAGATTGCATTTTAAATCTAAAGAGACTTAATTTTGAATTGACTTTCCAATTTAGTCGAACTTAGTTTAAAAGTAGTCCAAAAAATTACTAGTATCAAAAGAATTACGAGTATTAAAATTTAAACTATATTTGCTTTGCGCTTCTCAATTTTCCTTCAAAGCTACCAATAGGAAATAGGAATAAGGAATTTACGTTGCTAAAATTGGTTGGTTGTCTCTTCTTCTTCTTCTTCTTCTTTTCTTCTTCTTCTTCTTCTTCTTCTTCTTATTATTATTATTATTATTATTGTTAATTAGTGTTTCGGTTGCATTTGAAAGCGCAGCTATTTTGAACTGATTGGGGATTCCATGTCAATCAAAATTATTTTAAAAATTAACTTGCAAAAGTTGCAAGCAAAGGAATTGAAAATTGAGTACTGACTTTCATTTCAAAGCTGACCCCAACAAATCGACAACTACTTTATGAAGTAGTAACTTATTTCCTAAAGGTACAGTAATAAAAAAAGAAAAAGCAGTGGAGAACCATTATGACTTATGTTCTAAAATCATAAGGACATCGTATTAAAAAAGCAAAATTAAACCGTATTGTTAATTTGTTAAGACATCATAGAGAAATCGATATGTACACCCTTGTGCAAATTAATTGAAGCAACCTCTTAAGTTTCATTTCTTTTACTATACGGTCAGTTTTAGAGCCACTGAAGTGACAGGGTGTAATCGATTTCTATTTTTCCTCAGACTAGTCCATTTGCAGTGGTGTGCAGTAATATGAATCTATTTCTGGGGTCGATGATAAAATTTGTTTAGCCTTGAAAAATATTGCGTCATCCGTTATTGCATCACGCTCAGACACTATTGTCTCGACTGGCGATTAGATGTCATACGGTCATTGTCTGCGATTGACGTTACTCCCAGGAAGCGTACGAAAATTGTAACGCTGCACAAACACACTGTCAAGACCTACCGTTGTGCAATTCAAAGTACTATAGACTGGCCCGGAAACTCTCCTGATTTAGATCCAATTGAGAATTTGTGGTCAATCTGCAAGGAACGACTTCGTGGAATAGACATACGAAGTACTAACATTCACACTGGGTCATATTTCATTGGAAAAATACGAAAAAAAAAAAGCAAATAAAAACGGAATTACTTGTTTTGCTTCAGTTGATTTGCACAAAAGTGTATATTTGCTGATTTTGTATTGGATCCAATCTTCAGCATTAGGTTAATCAAGCCCAACTCTACAACTTCAAAATTTTGAAAGTTTATCATCTCTTCTTGTCAACACTCTACCATTCATTCACGTAATTTTTTTCTTATATCTCTTCTTCCTTCAGCAGGTCATGTGAGTATTATATTTTCCGTGTCGTTCTTCCTCGTGTCTAATAAATTTTAACTGGCACTTACTGATTGTTTTTCTTGTACCCATTTTCTTTAGAAATTGCTTGCTGCTCACATTTTTTGTTCATGGTGTTCACATTTTCTGTGTGAATGGATCATGTCTTCATCGGTAAAGAAATTGCCCAACATTCCCTGCAATTCAAGAGGATAGACATTATATAGCAGTTCAGCCCTATGTTTTTTGTTTCTAACGATATTCTCCTCTCTCTTAATACTTTGCTTAGTTTATGAAAGGCATGTTCAGAGTGTGCAGCATTAACTGTCACATTGGAAATTATGCATGACATAGAAGTACAACAATCTTTTCTTTGTTCTTATTGATATTTTCTTATCTCTTAATACCTTGCTTAGTTACTGCCATATAATAGATTAGATATTACATAGCAGTTCAGCAATCTTTTCGTTATTCTTCACAAAATTTACCTATCTCTTAATACTTTGCTTAGGCATGATGAGATTGTCCAGCAGTCACTTCCATATAGGAGTTCAGATATTACGTAAGGATTCATCACTCTTTTTTTGTTTCTAACGACAGTTTCCTATCTCTTAATACTTTGCTTAGTTCATGAAAGGCACGATTAGATTATCAGCTGTCACTGCCATAGGGGAGATCAGATATTACATAGCAGTTCAGAACTATTTTTATTTCTAACGACATTTTCCTATCTCTTAATACATTGCTTAGTTTATGAAAGGCATGATTAGATTATCAGCTTTCACTGCCATAGAGGAGACCAGATATTACATAGCAGTTCAGAACTATTTTTATTTCTAACGACATTTTCTTATCTCTTAATACTTTGCTTAGTTTATGAAAGGCATGATTAGATTATCAGCTGTCACTGCCATAGAGGAGATCAGATATTACATAGCAGTTCAGACTATTTTTATTTCTAACGCCATTTTCTTATCTCTTAATACATTGCTTAGTTTCTGGAAGGCGTTTTACACTTTTTTGATGCACTTTCATAATTCATCGCCTGTTTTCTTTTTTTTAAAAGTACTCACTGAATACAAAGCCATGGAGGGTCTAGCGGTATTATGTTACTAACTGAGATTCTTTTATGGACGGAGGAATAGAAACGGCTCAGTTCAGATTTTGAGGTTACGCACAACGTGTAATAGTTGACTCTAGACTTGAAGATTGTAGTATTCAAGGAAGCATCCCCACGCGAGTTTTTTTTTTTTTTACGGTAAGAAGCGGCTCTCTGGAAAAAAAATTGTTCGAATTGTCCTTTTCTTTGCCAATGGTATATGAAGGGAATGAGCATGAGTAACCCCGATGTAAGTAGCAGACGAGTCTTAACTTTAAATGCCTGTACAGATAAAAGTAGAAAATGATAGCTCGTGAAAACATTTTCCGTGGAAATAGCGATAGATTAGCTAGAGTCTTTCGGCATTGTGTCTATACTAGAATGTCTCTATGGTGGCAAATATTTCAAAATGTAACTGGTCTTGAAATGGAAAGTTAGAATTAGGCAGTAGTTGTCAATTTGGTTGGGATCTACTTTGAAATGAAAGCCGCTGCTCAATTTTAAATTCCCCTGCCTGCAACTTTTAGGATCTAATTTTTAAAATAATTTTGATTAACATGGAATCCCCAATCAAAATAGCTACTCTTTCAGATGTACGGCGGAGTAATGGATAGCGGCTCGGATTGAGGAATCGGAGGATCAAGTTCGAATTCCAGTCGAATCCTTTACGTGCTAATACCCTTGAGAAAGGTATGAATCCTCTTCATCTCGCCATTTTTGGGTAAATATTAGGACATATCGGGTTCTATATCTATAGCCTTGGATTGGTCTACTGCAGAAAGAACAGGCAACCTACTGCGTGAAAAAATCTGCCTTGTCAATCATGTATCGAAAGATACATGATCGCCTAAACGTGTATCACGCATGGCACATAATTGACTAACTTTCAGATGCAGCCGAAACACTAATTATACCAAAGCCTATCACAAATCTATACTCATACTGCATTCTGATTTCTACAATGCATAGATTTTGTCGTTTTCCATCTGAGTCCCTCATCAGCTTAATGTCATTTGTGTATCTTATTTTTCAAAGCTTATGCCCGTCGATAGTAAATCTTGTTAGGACTTCTAGTTCTCTTAGAATCGTGTCTCTATGCCGATTAAATTAATCTGATAAAATCAAGCATCAACATCCGTCCTGCGGTATGAATGAGAAGACTATTTAGTAAGCGACTGCCTATTTTATGTCATCACGAAAAGGAAGAGATGTTTTTAATTAGATTCTCTTTTGTAATTACTTTCAGGGAAAGGCTTTCTTGTTCTGTGCTTTACCACTAAGCTTCAAATTAAAAGTAAAAACAAACAAAATGGATTTTAGTTATAATGTCTATTTTTTTTTCACTGCCTTGTCAACACTCCAAGACAGATGAATTTAAGCCAACTCACTGAAGACATTGAACCAAATTTTAATCAATTAGAATCGAATGTCAGCGGTCAGAGAGTTTCATTTCCAGGTCATGTCAGACGAGATCTCGCTCGTTCTGTGTTTCCTTGAAGACATCGTTATTATTATTATTATTATTATTATTATTATTCGTTAAAGAACAGGGAATACCAAAAAGAATTAATCGTTCAGTTGCCCTTTCTTGAACTGACCCTCGATTATTTCTCGAAGATTCACTTCATTAAATCATGTTTTAGTCCCTTTTTTTTTGACAGCTACGGCAAAAATACATGTTTCGTATGATCAGATGAACGCTTAACATTTCAAAGTTGACTCTTTTTTTTATACAAATTTTATTTAATATTTTCTTGTGTTCACACGGAAAGCGGTTGTAGCAAAATATGGTTCCTCCTTGCATTGGCTTTGGACAGAATGATTTTTGATTTTGCCTTCTGTTTTTGCAATCGATTCTGCCGAAGCCGCAGTCTTCATTAAAGTCGTTTGAAGGAAAAGTGAACTGCAAGGCGGCCATTAATCTGTGAACGGTCATTTGAGAGATTAGAAAGAATGAAGATAATTAGGAAAACGGAACAAAAAAAGAGTAAAAGAAGAAAAGTTATAAGGAAGAAATTGGGAAGAAAGAAGAAAGGGAAAAAAGAAAATGATGAGGAAACAAGGAATGATAAAAGAAAAATGTGAAATAAAAAAAGAAGAAAAATGCAAGTGGAACGAAAGAAAGAAACAATGAAACACAAAAGAAAATGCGGAGAAAAGCAAAAGGAAGATGAAAAACAAAGAAACAAGTAAGGAAAAAAGATACAAAGAAATGATAATCATAAATATATTGAGATGTGAGAATAGTAAGATGATAATGAGAAAGAGAGAAAAAATTAAAAAAAAGAAAGAAAGAAACAAACGAACATTGAAAGGGAAGATAAATATATTGAAAGAAAGAAAGAAAGAAAGAAAGAAAGAAAGGGAAAGATAAATAGTTTGAAAGAAAGAAAGAGAGAATGAAAGAAAGAAAGAAAAGGAAAGATAAGTGAAGACAGAAAGAAAGAAAGATGAGTATTCTGAAAGAAAGAAAGAAAGAAAGAAAGAAGGAAAAAAGAAAGAAAGAAAGAAAGATGAGTACACAGAAAGAAAGAAAAAAAAAGAAAGAACGAAAGGGAAAGATAAATACATTGAAAGAAAGAAGAAATGGAAAGATAAATAAAGACAGAAAGAAAGAAAGTTGAGTACTCTGAAAGAAAGAAAGAAAGAAAGAAAGAAAGAAAGAAAGGGAAGGAAAGATAATGAAAGAAAGAAATAAGAAAGAATGGAAAAGAAAGATAAATACATTGAAAGAAAAAGAAAAGAAAGAAAAAAAGAAGGGAAGGAAAGCTAAATGTACTGACAGAAAGAAAATAAAGAAATGAGACAGAAAATACACTGAAAGAAGGAAGAAAAGAAGGAAGAAGCAGGCTAGAAAAATGAAAAGGAGAGAAAAAAAAAACAGTAAAAACTAACGAAAGAAGAAAATCATAAAATAAGGTAAGTAACGACATTAAAACGAAGGAGAAAAAAGCCTTTTTGATTGTAGGTCTTAAAGATTGAAAGCTGCTTTTTTAGAGTTTTCGTGAAATAAAAATTATTACCTATGGGAGTTTAAGTGTTTCATATTCTTTAATTAATAATAATTTTACTCTGTCTTTTGACATACAGCTCTCCCTGGATCTATATCCTCTTGGAAATTCCATACGGATTACCATATTGTATCATTACTATATATATATATATATATATATATATATATATATTTTTATATTTAGGCAGCAATCCTTCCTTTATGCATGTTTCATTAAAAACGACAGACAAGGTACTACGGTTGAGCTTTTTTATTTAATTTTTCTTGTGTTCTGACAAGAGCTTTCTTTTCTGGACAAAGAGTGTGTAAGAACTGTCCGAATGTTCTGTGTTTCCGAGCGCTTTCGGCTATATCTTTAGCCATTATCAAGATGATTCAATATCAGCTTAGTAGAGTGTGTGTGTTCTGTGTATGTTCAGTGTGTGGTAGTGATGTTTTTAGTTTCCGAATACGGTTAGCACATTGTGGCTTTGTTCATTCAGTTAATATTGTTAAGAGTTGGCTTTTTCTTTTTATCATTAGAGCTTCCATTATTTTTAGTCTTTTTTTTGCAAGTGGATGCAGTTAATATATTTGTGTTTTCTACTAGTATGTTCCTAATAGTGTCGGGTAAATCTGAGTGTGTGTTGTAAGACGTCTATATATATATATATATATATATATATATATATATATATATATATATATATACAAATATTTTTTACCAACGCAGCATTAGATTTGAGGGTAAATAATGTTATATATATATATATATATATATATATATATATATATATATATAAATTTCTTTTAAACGTATATGGTATATATATATATATATATATATATATATATATATATATATATATATATGTGTGTGTGTGTGTGACACTATTTAAGGTTGTGTGAAAAAAGAGAGGCGACAATTAAATTAGGTGATAAGAAGCTATCACAAAAAGACACTGAGCGATGTTATTTTTTTCTAACAAAGAAAAGTGGTAAAGATTTTATTTTCATTAGCGAAGAAAGTAAGATACCGGATTTAATTTGATTTATGTTACGGGGCGGCGAATAAGATATAGCCATCTGCCCATGGTAATAATGAAAGTTTCAAATTGGACAAGTGGACTACAGGACAGAGTGCTAAGAGATAATATTAATTAGGTCATGCACTGACCGAGAAGGGTGTCAGCTGGACCACCTGCAGAGTACAAGGAGGGAAAGATTAAACCTTTAACTATCTGCGGAAATGTCATTTGAGAAGAGCACCTGTTTTGTGTCGGAGCTGGCCATTAAAATTTATTTTATCGGAACGAATTATTGGCACCGGGGTGCAAAGTCGCCAGATGACCACCCACTTGATGCTGGCGAAAATCTCGATTGACGAACTCCAGACGGCGTTCGATTAAGATAAGAGTCGTAAGGATTTGTTGTCGGGAAGAAGAAAAGAACGAAAAGAAAGAAAAAGAAAAAAAAAGAAGATAATTTTTTTTTCTTTGAGCGAGATTTTTTAAACCGAGGCCAGTCTAGCCATACCCACGCTGCTGGGCGTCCATTGGCTGAATGATGGCGTGAGCGGTAGTCGAAGGTAATCATGTGAAGAAGGAAGGGAGGCCTGTTGACGCCCCTGAAGGGATTGGTATGAGATACCAATATGAGAAAGGAAGAATTTGGGAGGACGATTCCCTTAAATTAGAAATAAGGACTTCCAAAAATGGAAATTAATAAATTTTCATAACCGAAAACAAAGGAAATCCTTGATGCGGATTTAGAATTATCAAGGAACCTCAAACCCCGACAGGCCCACCCCGGTTTTGGTCGGCGTCCATATAAGCAGAGTCGCAACGAGTAGACGGCAGTTGAGTTAGTTGGGGTTAGAAAGACAGGCAAGAATTGAGCTGTGAGCTCTGAGACCCGCCTCGCAGGAACCTGACTGAAAGATCCACGCAATCACGACCTCACCTTCTAACCAAGAACAATTTATTTTTGAAGAACGACTTAGACGCACACCATCAAAACAAGTTTTACGAATATCACCTGAAGATACACCAAAACCAGTTTGTTAAAAGAACAATCTAAGATATTAAGACTCGCCTAATAAACGCAAAGTGTCACGAATCCATATTAGCGGTTTGGGAGAAAGAATCAGTCCTGTATTCAGCAACCAGACATAAAATATTGTTATTCCTTTTTTAACACATTTGAACTTTTCGAGTTGTTACTTTATTTTCTTTTACATATACTTGTGCGGTATTGCCCTTGTTCGGACTCGACTTGCATTACGGCCCGGCGACTGATTGATTTCGTCTACCTAAGATCAAATCACAACGTGGGTAGGTTAGACTAGAAATCAAAGCAGTTACTTCGGTAACCAGACGTTGGAGGCGAGCTGGGAACGACAAGGCTGATACCGAATCTAACCAGATTCCCATCCGAATCAACAAAAGGTTAGAACGTCACATTTGGTGTCGCGAGCAATACCAAGTCACAGTGGTCGTCACAGGACAGGATAGGACGTCTACGGCGCGGAGACAAACGGGGTAACGTCACAATTGGCGCCGTGACCAGGGTAGCATGGCGGGCGCGGCCAGGCAGGCGTCACGATTGGCGCAGCGACCCAGGCGTGACGTCACATATATATATATATATATATATATATATATATATAATTTCTTTTTAAACGCATATGGTGTATATATATATATATATATATATATATATATATATATATATATATATATATATTAAAATTGATTTAAAAATATGGTTAACTCTTTTATTTATATACATATATATATATATATATATATATATACGTTTAGGTCCAACTTAATAAAAATATCCTAATGTTGGACACTTTTTTCTTTATTTTCACCAGTAATTAAAAATTGTCTTTATTTTCACCAGTAATTCGAACATCAGAACGGCTCATGATCAAACATAATAGACATCCATTGTCTGTTATCTTTAATAATAAAAATAATAATAATAATTATTATATATATATATATATATATATATATATATATATATATATATATATATATATATATATTACTAGATTACAATAGATAACTAGGAGTAAAAGATGAGAATAGTTTAGAAGGAATCAGAAACCCTATCCTAAACAGGAAGCAAGCACTTTTTCACCTGTTCACTAGACGGAGAAACTATCGATAGACAAACCTAATATCTGAGTTCCATGAAACTTTGAGTACAGGGTGAATATACCGTTAAATTTATTTTAATAATAAAAACATTAAAAGATAAACTATATTTAATTAATTAGTAATGCATAATAGATGCATATATATATATATATATATATATATATATGTATGTGTGTGTGTGTGTGTGTGTGTGTGTTTTTTGTTTGCCATACAGAAAAATGTTCTTCCTCTGTGACATTTAAACGTGAAACATAAAAAAACGGAAGAATAATATTTCCATTATCTTCCATTTCAATAACTTTTGGTCATTTCTCCGGATTCGTTATTTTCCATCAACGTACCTCATTTCGAATGTAAAAGTATTTTCGGCTGGAATAAAAATGGAAGACCTTTCGTTCATATTTGAAATGTTACTTGTCAATACATTCCCCACCCATATTATAAATGGGATAAAATATATTCAGTATTCTACATATTTTCTTTTTTATTTTCTCTTCACCTTCATTCATTTTTTCTAAAAGAGGGTGAACTAAAAAGAACATGAACTATTAAAATGGCTGAAAACATTACAGTTTTGACCAAAATCCTTTATGCATATAATATTGCCAGCATAATTATTCACACATCAATGTACTTATCTTAAGGTTCAATAGTCTTCATTGATATTAGAGCTAAATGGGTGTTTATTTATATTATTCGAACTATTGTCCTCATCTTTGTCACCATGTTTATCACGGCCTTTTTCAGAGGGTTAGAATGTCGAACTGAACCCTTTATTTCGCTCACTGAGGTAAACTGTTCTAGTTCCACGTGCCATGTTTAATAGATGTCAGTTATCAGTTATCTCCTGTTAATTCCCCTCTCCAAGTTCTCCACCGTCTTAACCGGGTATTGAACTCACAATCTTTGGGTCCTTGTCACTGGCTCTAACTAACGCCTTTATCCACTGTGCCCTGTGTCCTTGATTAAGGCGGTGGAGAACTTTGAGAGGGGAATTAAGCAGGAGATAACTGAAATCTATTAGACGTGGCATGTGGAACTAGAACAGTCTACCCCAGTGAGCGAAATAAAGGGTTCAGTTCGATATTTCAACCACCTGAAGAAGGCCGGAGCATACAACGGCTGAAACGTTGTAATAAATATGGCGACAAAGATGAGGACAATTGTCCGAATAATGTAAATAGTGTACATAATACCTCATCTCAGAAATATGGACAAATTGTTTTTTCTATGACATTTCATTAATGGACGACTTTCTATAGGTTTTTGAAAATTTATTTTATTAACAAAACTAATTAGTATTCAATCAACAAACTGTGGTTCTGGTTTTGTATGACATTAAAAGCAATCATTTAATGTGTGTATTCTGTTACCAAAGAACGATTCCGGTTTTGAACCTCTGAATTTTCTGCCGATTTTGTTGTTACCTTGTTATGGCAATTGCTAGTATTCTTAGCATTGTTTCTTGGAGGCAAAGAGAGGGAAAGGGAGATATGCATGTCAGTAGGTTCGTTAGCAATCCATCAACAAGCAGTGACCTATCTCACTTCGGAAACTAGGGGAGATAATTCTTCCAGTCTCACAACCACAACTGATTATATTCGCATGTTTTTCTTTTTTGTTTTATATTACATTTAAAATAGGAAAATGCATCACAGTTACAATTCTTCACCTAAAGTGTTCAACCACCCCCCTACAATGTTTGAGTCGTCTGATTAATGGACAGTAGGGTAAGTAATTTTTTTTTAATTATTTTCGGCCAGCCTACACTTTCTGCAGTACAATGTATAGTAAGAGGAAAGAAAGCCTTTCTTTCCAGATTCATGATCTTTTGATGCAAGAAGATTCCTTTCCTTTTGTCATGTTGAAAGCTATCTTGGATAAAATCCTGATTGTCTTCAGCTTTTTCCTAATTGACCCATATTTTTTTGCCAAAAACTAACCTGCTTAACAGTTTGAGCTCTGACCACCGCTTTACCATTGATAGAGAAAAGTGACTTAATGCCTAACCACCAGTTGAACAGTGGTAGAGAAAAATGACTTAATAGCCAACCACCGGTTGAACAGTGGTAGAATAAAAATGACTTAATGCCTAACCACCGGTTGAACAGTGGTAGAAAAAATGACTTAATACACAGCCACCGGTTGAATGGTGGCTAAACACTTGACCCAGGAGCTCAGGCAGAAGGGTTAAAACTGTTCAGGAACGCAGTGATTAAAGGGTTAATATAAGTTTGATTAAAAACTGCCAGTAAAGAATAGTTTTATTTAATTTTCCTCGTCTAAGTACATTTTTCTCCGATCTTCCAAAAGATGAAAAATAATAACACTCATAGAATCCAGAAAGTAAAGTAGAAAAAATAACTAGAAAACAGATCCCGCACTTTATGTCCAATGGAAACTTATATTATTATTTCATTTAAATATACCTGGAAAACATTTCCAACTTTCGTTTGTTGGTACCAGATTTATCACGAAAACATAGAGTCGCATGATAAAATCTGACGTAGTGTTTTACAGCCACGAAATATTATTCTATTAATTAATTTCTTAATTTGTATCCTCAAAGTTTACATAAAACTTACACATTATTTCGGAAGCAGTCCTTTCTTTTACTCTTTGAGCCCTGATCACCGTTTTACCGGTCGTAGAGAAAAATGGCTTAATGCCCAGCCACCGGTTGAACGGTGGTAGAGAAAAAGGACTAAATGCTCATCCCCCGGTTGAACGGTGGGTATACACATTTAATTATTTTTATATCTACCATAAAGCATTACATACCAATTATTCGCGAATTTTGACTCAGAATCTCAAGCAGAAGGGTTAAAACTGTTCAGGAACGCAGGACTAAAAGGGTTAACATTTGTATTATTTTTTCCTGACTAGGTTTTATACTAGTAGTAACTACTTGCTTTCTTTAGAGATCATGCGACAATAATTAAAACCCGCCTCTTTTATCACAGATCTGAGTAAAACTACCTAACAATCGCTAAATATTTTGAACGAACGACAAGTTGCACACATTAACGTTTTGACGACTTGACCAATAAGAAGACAGATTAAAATCACGCCTCTTCACGCGTTAGTATAGCTGTGATTTTCGTAGAGTTTTTTCACTGGAAAGATAAAAGGCTTAGAAAATATAGAAACTGGAGGCAGTACTAAGTGAACCTCTTGCTACCAAGAATAGCGCTATACACATGGCCGATTTTGTTCCGATATAACATACAAGGGTCTTCAGAAAGTAATTACATTTTACCAGAAGGGATATAAAAGAAAATGTAAATTAAATTTATTTAAATATGAAGGAATTCGTGATGTAATTACGTTTTATCAGAAAGGTTATAAAAAAAGGCATGCTTGAGTTTATCCGAAAAGATCTAGTCAGTTGGAATTTCTTTTACGCATTTTCCAATTCTTTGATGGATCAACCAACAATTGAAACTGTATGTTAATTTATTTACCTATTATGTTGTTGTAAAAAGAAATTAAATTTTCCCGGAAAGTATAAAAACAAATGGAAATTAATTTATCGCATGCACATTTGTATAAACAGAGTATAGTGAAGCTAACGTTTAAATAAGTTAAGTGTAGCTGTATGGCTCAACAGAGTGGAGATGCTGCTAACTTTTGAATAAACAAAGTGTAGATGTTGCTAACATTTGAATAATTTGAGAGTAGCTGCCGCTAACGTTTGATTAACAGAGTGTAGCGGCTGCTAATATCTCACAAAAATGTGCAGCTGCTGCTGAGGTTTGTCTAAACGGAGTGTTGCGACTGCTAACGTTCGGGTCAAAAGCTACTAACGTTTAGCTCAACAGAGTGTAGCTGCTGCTAACGTTTGAATAAATTGAGGTGTAATAGTTGCTAACTTCCGACTAACCAGATTATGGCTGCTGCTTCTGCTAACTTTTGACAAAACAGTGTAGCAGCTGTTAAGGTTTGAATAAACAGAATATAGCGGCTGCTAAATTTTGGCTCACTCAACAGAATGTAGCTGTTGCTAACATTGGACTAAATACAGTGTAACAGCTGCTACCGTTTGGCTGAACAGAATGTAGTTGCTAACGTTTGACTAAACAGTGTAGCTGCTGCAAACGTTTCTCTGAACAGAATGTAGTGGCTGCTAACATTTGACTCAACAGAGTTTAGCTGTTGCAAACGTTTCAGTAAATTAAGTGTAGCTGCTGCTAACGTTTGGCTAAACAGAGTTTAGGGCTGCTAATGTGTGACTAAACATTTGGCTCAACAGAGTGTGGTTGCTTTCTGCGGTAGACCAGTTGCCATCCAAGGCTATTGAACCTGGTCTGTCCTGCTAGTTACCCACAGATGGAGGGAGAAGAAGATGATTCATACCTTTCTCAAGGGTATAGTACGTAATGGATTCGACTGGATTTCGAATCGGAGAGTCGAGTTCGAATACTAGTCGAATCCAGAGAGAAATGGCAACCTACTGCGGAAAAAATCTGCCCCCTCAGTCATGTAAAGAAAGATACATGATCCCTTAATCGTGTATCACACATGGCACATAACTGACTGACTAAAGCATAGCTAAAATGAGTGCAGTGGCTACTAATGTTTGTCTAGAGTTTAGTGTCTGCTAACGATTGACTAAACAAAGTGTAACGGCTGCTAAGGTTGGGATAAAAAGAGTGTAGCTGCTAACGTTTGAATAAACAGAGTGTAGCTGCTGTTAACGTTTGACTTAACAGAGTGTAGCTGCTTCTAACGTCTGAATAAACTAAACTTTTGAATAAACAGTGTGTAGCTGCTACTAACGTTTGAATAAACAGTGTAGCTACTGCTAATATTTGACGATAAAGAATCTAGTGACAGCTAACGTCTCACTAAACTGAAGGTATCAGATAGATAGATACTGAAGGTATCAGCTTCTAACATTTAGCTCAACTGAGTGTAGCTGCTGCTAACGTTTGACTAAACAGAGTTAAGCGGTTGCTAATATTCGGCTCAACCGGGTTTATCTGCTTCTAACTTTTGAATAAACAGAGTATAGATGCTGAAAACGTTTAAATAAATGGAGTGTAGCTGCTGCTAACTTTTGACTAAACAGAGTGTAGCGACTGCTAACGTATGACTAACCATAGTTTTTGCCCGCCCTATTGTTTGCCTCAACAGGGTGTAAATGTTGCTAACGTTTCAATAAACAGTTTAGTGGCTGATAATTTTTTAATAAATAGAGTGTAGCTGCTGCTAACGTTTGGAAACTTGAGTATAGCTTATTTACATTATTCGGACTATTGTCCTCATCTTTGTTGCCATATTTATTACAACGTTTCGGCCGTTGTAGGTTCCGGCCTTCTTCAGGTGGTTGGAATGTCAAACTTAACCCTTTATTTCGCTCACTGGGGTAGACTGTTCTAGTTTCACGTGCCATGTTTT